GTCCAGATTCAGCCGCTGTTGAAACTGATCAGTTTCAGCAGCGGCTGAATCTGGACGCCAGTTCCGACTTACATACAGATTCAACTTAAGAACAAACCTACAGTCCCTATCTTGTACGTAACCCGGGGACTGCCTGTATTAAAAGAGATTCCTTGCTTCAAGAAATTATAGTCTAAATCTGAAAGAAAGAATTACTCCCATTTTATAGTTGGGGAGACTGCAGCACTGAGAAGCTAAGTGACTTGCCCAAGGAATTCTGTAGCATGCCTGGGAATTGAATTCTGATTTCCTGGTTCAGTGGGTTAAGTACAAGGCTGCAAATTATAAAGAAGGCTACTCTGGATTTAAAAAATAGAAGGGTTTAGAGAGGAAGTGAAGGCATCTGTACAAAATAAAATTAAATAGAATTGAGGGAATGTTGATAGTAATGGATATAAATCAGAAGTTAGGAATTGTAGAAAAGTAAGGGATGCCAAGGGACACAAGGAGACCTTGATAGGCAAGAGAGACAAGGACATTATGGGGCTCTTTAAATATATGAGGAACAAAAAGAATGGTTTTGGTTCATTATTAGATGGAAATGGTAGTATTATCAATAATAATGCAGAAAAGGTATTCAAAAATATTTGTGTGTATTTGAGACCAAAAAATCCTTGATGCAGTCTTCTCATACTGTGATAACACTCCTTCCATTTCATTCCATTATTGTCTCTGGAGAAAGTTATTCAGACATTTTTAAATCAGCAGGTCCAAATAATTTTCATCCAAGAATTTTAAAAGAACTGGCTGAGAAGCTTGCTGAACCATTAATGTTTCTTTTCAGAACATCTCAGCGCATTGGGTAAGTTCCAGAAGACTGGAAGAAAACTAATGTGCCACTTTTAAAAAAAATAGTAAATAGGATGTGACCTGTCCTATGTAAGCGGCGAGGAGTCCTGTGGCACCTTATAGACTAACTGAAGTGTAGGAGCATAAGCTTTTGTGGGAAGAGACCCACTTCGTCAGATGCATCTGACGAAGTGGGTCTTTGCCCACAAAAGCTTATGCTCCTACACTTCAGTTAGTCTATAAGGTGCCACAGGACTCCTCGCCGCTTTTGCAGATTCAGACTAACACAGTTACCCCTCTGATACTTGACACCATGCAATGTCCTTTATAATTTACAGGTCCGTCAGCCAGACATTAATACTCTTCAAGATAATGAAGGGGCTCATATGGGACTCAGTTAATAAAGAATTAAACAAGGATAATGTAATTAATTCCAGTCAATATGAATTTGTAGAAAATAGAACTTGTCAGACTAATTTGATGTTTTTTAAATGAGATTACAATTTTGGTTGATAAAAGGAACAGTATTACTATCTACTTAAGATTTCTAATAAGAGGTTTGACTTGGTATTGCATCTAGTTGATTACACAACGAGAGTGATATAAAATTAACATGGCATTAAAATTATTTAAAAACTGGCTAATTGAGGGGCCTTAAAATGCAAATGAGGAATCATCACTGAGCAGGTGTGTTGCCATTCAGGAATTCTGATAGGGCAGACCCCCAGCCAGCTCCTGCACCCTCCCTCCCAGACTCCATACCCGAAGCCCGATTCCCGGCAGCCCCTTCCCACACACTGAATCCCTCGTTTTTTGGCTCCACCCGAGAGACTAGGGAGGCCCACAAAATCTATTAGCTTGGGCCCCTCTAGGCCTTGGGGCTGGTGTGCAAGGGGAATGAGGGCAGTGTCTTTCTGCTTCTGTCAGGGGCTTCTCACTTTTGTGGGCTCCCAACTGATTTTTCTGTGGGTCAGCAGCCCTAGACCCAAAAAAGGTTCCCTAAGCTATTCAATGACCTGCTAAAGTTTTCAAATAGTACAAAACTTGATGGATTGGTAAATAAGGAAGAGGCAGGTCTGTACTTCAGAACAGTCCGGATCATTTGGTAAATTGGTTGCAAGCAAACCATGCATTTTTAATGTGGCTAAATGTAAATGTGTACATCTGGGAATAAAGGGTGGAAGCCATGCTTACAGGAGGGGGACTTTTTCCTGGGAAGCAGTGACTCTGAAAAAGATTTGGGGGTTATGATGGATAATCAGCTGAACCAGCAATTTAAATTCCTGGTTAGGCAGTTAACCAAGTGTTTAGTTGATTAACTGCTACAGGGGCTGCTCCATCCCTGCTGGGCCTGCCCTGCCGGTCCAATGGCTGGAAGCAAAAACTGGGCCCGTTCAGACCCTTTCTAGACATGAATGGCAATTTTATAATAATCAAAAAGAAATCCTGGGAGGGGGGAAATCCAATAGAATATTGTCAGGAGCCAGAGAGATTGATGTGGAAAGAGGCAGCTCGTAGCAGCTGCAGAGGCCAATGCTCTTGCACTGTGAATGGAGAGAAGAGGAGCTTGGCCTCTTCTTTTGTATGCACCAGGCTGGGCAAGCTTCTTCTTCTTTTTAAATAAACCATGACAATTTCAAACTTCTCTGACCTGAATGCGGAGTCCCTGAAACTATCTGAGGACAGGGAGTAACCTGCTGCTGCTGTGTGGGAAGGTCTTCAGCTTGAACCCTCGATTGGACACTCAGGGTACACCTACACAGCAACGTTATTTCGAAATAATGTTGAGCTAGAGGACATCTTACTCCAACTCACGGTAATCCTCATTTCACAAGGAGTAAGGGAAGTTGAAGGAAGAGTGTTCTTTCTTTGACTTCCTGCTGTGTAGATAGTGCCAAAAGTCGAGTTAAGCTTTTTCAACTTCAGCTACGCAATTACCATAGTCCATTGTGTAGCTTAATTGGACTTTAGCCCTGCTGTGTAGATGTGCCCTTAGTCATGAAGAGACAAGAGAGAAGCTTGGATAGGAATCCATTCCTTATTCTGCACTGAAACGCATGCAGATGGTCCCGTGTAGACCCATGCTGTGATTCATGCACGCAGTCCACTGTAGCAGTGGCGCCTGGGCTAGTGTAGATTTGTTCTGATAGAAGGAATAGGAAAGATGTAATGTAATAACTGACTTTTATTTTGTTTGTAGACAATTCTTCTATAGTGAAGGTCTCCTTAAAACAAAATAATAAAGCCCTGGCACTGGCCCTCAGTGCCGAGAAAGCAAATACCCAGAGGCTCATCTTTGAGAAGATGTTACTGCAGAAAGAAGTAGAGAAATGTCACTTTCAGAATGCTACGCTTCGGCAAAGATTGTATTTTCTGGTACTATGCTAATATTGTAACTTGGGAGGGAGGGGTCATAATCATTGACACCACGTACCAAGGAGGAAAGAAAAAGAATTTAACTTTTAATCTTTTAAAAATAACCATACAAAGATACTGTTGAACTTTGATCCCATTCTCCCTAAGGGTTGTGCAGGGAGACAATTACAACTCTGTTGGCTATGATGTACGCTAAGGCTATCTGTGCATCTGAGGCTATGTCTAGACTGCAGAGTTACAGAAAAACTCCAATAGTCCGGCACCCAATTGTCCGGCACTCCTGATGCTCCAGCATCAAAATGTCAAGCACTCCCATCCAGCTGATTAAAAAGCCGGCCATTCAGCGCACATGCTGGCTGTACCCAGAAGGAACATAAAGGTGGGGGGGAATCCAGTTACAGCATGGAGAAGAGCATTTTGCTTCAGGAAAGGGGAAAGGGGAGGGGGATTTGGTTACAGCATGGAGAAGAGTGTTTTGTTTCAGCTAAGGGGTGAGGAGGGGGGAGAGGGAGGGAGATCGGGTCCTGGCCAGCTGCTTAACCGGAACTTCCCGATACGCTGGCATATCTGATAATCCGGCACCACCTAGGTCCCAAAGGTGCCGGATTATCGGAAGTCTAATATGCTGGCATATCCGATAATCCGGCACCACCTAGGTTCCAAAGGTGCCGGATTATCGGAAGTCTACTGTATTTCGGAAAAAGATACCGCTTTTTTTCTAAAACTTGGCCTATCTACATGGGGCCAAATTTCTGGAAAACCTCTTCTTTCAGAACATCCTTTATTCCTCAGACTGTTCCGAAAAAGCAGATACCTTCCTTGGACGTGGCAGAACTTTTCCGGGATACCTCTGGTTTCCTGGAAAAGCTCTGCAGTGTAGACGTAGACTGAGATACAGCGATGAACAGAGTAGAGTGATGGTCTGGTACAGACACAGTAACATGGGGTTAGGTCATGCCTGTAGTGCTGCTCATACTGTTTTGATAATGTTTTAACTGGGCACTGGATATGGTAGCTTAATAGTGCAGCTGGGCCCTTTGTTTTCAGTAAAAATACTGTCTCCAATAAAAATACTGCCAGGGAAGATACTAGGATCCCTATACAGGGAAATTCCTGGCATAGCTGTAGTGGCATAATTCTGGTGTAGCTATGCTGGTCTATTTCCCTACGTAAGGGCTTGTCTGTCAGACAAGACCGGCAAACTGCCCAGACTTTCTAGATGGCTAAATTAGGGTGGTTGCACTATGCCATCCCTTTGATATCCTTGCCTCTTCCAGCAGTTCATCATTCCCACATCTTCAGGGCAATCAAACCCTCCCCCTACCTCTTCAGTTCCTCCATATATTGTTAAAGGTCAATAATCTGAGCTTTATACTTCAGGCATGATTCCCCCTACCCCTTTTCTCATAAGCTTTGAGCAGTGAGATAGTTAAGTGTTGCTATTCAAATTATAATCTGTTATTACTCAGTGGGGTTGTTCACCCTTCCAGAGCTGCTGTTGCAGGTGCCCCATGCTCCTTTCAAACTCCGGCATGCTTTGCTTTGTGGGTTTGCAATTGGATTGCATTTTACAGCTTTTTGTTGTAAACAAGGTAGCCAGAGACTTATTACTGGTATGTAACAACTGAGAGATTTGTTGTCTCATAGCTTACCCTTGTTCCCCCATGGGCTGAGCTCCACTGCTTTCTGCTCCCCATATTAGCCTCTCTTTAGTTGTGTCTAGACACATTTAAGTTCTAGGCTTGTAAAACATTACCTTTCTGATACAGAATAAAATCCTCAAACAACTGGAAGAATTTCTGAATGGTAACCTGCTGACAGCCATTAAGATGAGCAGACCTTCCGAGGTAGGCGGTGTGTGCGGGGGAAGGGGATGTTTGGAATAGGGATGTTAAAAAGCAGTAAATCAGGTAACCATGTAACTGTTAAAAATCTTAGTGATTACGTGCTACGGGCTGTGCAGTATGAAGCTTATACTGCAGAGCCCACAGTGCAGCTGGCAGTGCACACTGAGAGTCAGCTCCCAGCTGCTGACTCCACTCCTGGGGAGTCAGTTGCTGGCCCATGCTGTGGGTTCTGATACAGAGCCAGCAGTGTGGAGTGGCAGCTGGCTTCCTGGGAGTGGGGCTGGAGCTGGCACGTAACTGTTCACAATAACCGATAAGCATCATCTTATTGGTTAACCATTTAAATGGTTACACAATTACATCCCTACTTTGGAAAGGAGCGAAGTATCTATGGCTCCTCTGTTACCTGTTCACCTGCTACTCCACACAGCATCTTGATTTCAGC